AATGTCGTCTCCGTGGTCTCTTAATCTCTTTTCTCCCACTTTCATCTTGCTCTCCACTCGCACCCCAGTGAGCATTTCTGCACCAGTACCGAGAGTTTGAAGATATTCTCCTCTGTCTCTGTGTCTCATTTCCTCCTTCCTAGGAGAACGGGTGGGCACAAGCACAATGAAGCGTGGAGTCAGAGGCCCAGTTCATTTGGGTACCAGGGACTGGAAGCCAGAAACCAAAGCCATGGTGGTTTGCATCCAGCAAGAGAAACTACAGGGGCAGACTGTACGTAGGTGTGGGCTTGCGTTCCAGCCACGGGTATGAACCATGGTCCTAGGCCCATTCTCACAAGGGAATGAAAGTTAATTTTAATGGTAATTGTAGGGCAGATGAGAATTGCACAAAATCCATAAAGTGAAGCTCTTGGCCTTCAGAGGGTGGCTGGGTTCAGATGAGGCCATGAGGGAGCTGTCAAGATAGGTCTTTGTAAGAGGAAGAAGAGACCAGCACTCTTTCTGCCCCCACCTCTTCAAACCAAGCAGAGAGCCCTCAGCAACAACCAAACTGGCCAGCACCTTGGCCTTGGACTTTCTGGTCTGCAAAACTGTGAGAAATAACTGTGTTGCCAAAGCCACCTGTCCATGGTACTTCGTGATGGCAGCCAGAGTTAAGATCCAGGGCCTCTCTCTCCAGTGGAGATGAACTGTGTCCTTTCTATCTAGTCTACTCCTTTCCTTTCTCCATCTTCAGAAGTGAACAAAATGAAAAAAAGAACACTATTAATAATTTGCCAGAAGTCTGAGTCTCTGGTAAACCTTGATATGTCAACTCCACTTGATTAAAAAAACTACCTAACATACTAGTGACACACGCTCCCGGTGGGTCATGGAGGTATGGTCCTAAGTGCAGTATACTTGGTCCCTGATCCCTCAGGGATTTCTGTCTGGTGCTGTTCCCCTGCTCTGCGTTTCGGCTGCCATGAACTAAACACCTCTTCCCCACGCCCTGCTACCATCACGTTCCTGCCTTGGAGTCAGCTGACCATGGATCAAAATCACAAGCAAACCGAACCACTTTCTTTAAGCTGTGGGTGTTGGGTGTTGCATCTCAGCAATGAAGGAAGCCAATACCCAGGGCAGATTGTTTTCCGAACTTCCCCCAGGTGATGTAGACACGGCTCTGCTGAAGTCCTCCGTGGGGCCTCTGTCCAGTCATCCCCACAGTGGCCTTGACACAGCCCAGAGAGAGCAGCCTTGTACCAGGAATGAGAGGCCAAAATGGCGGCAGTGAGAGGAGAACAGTGTGTCTGTGGATTTGCTCTGAAACTCCATAGTTTAAAGGCCAGGTCAGCCTGATACTCCTCTGGCCTCTCATTTTCCTTCCAAATGGAATTGTATCCAATCCTTTCCCTCACCCTTTCCACCTTCTTCTTTGTAGCAAAAGAGTCCCTGGAGTGGGCTTCTTGGCTGCAGGTGGCACCGAGCAGCATGGGCTACAGGGCACAGGGGCTAAGGGAGTGAGGGCAAGGAGTGGAAATGAAAACCTCTGCCTCCTGGTGTCACTGCCTGCTGCCTATCAGGTCCCTGCCGGTCCCTGCTACCAACCCCATGCTGGTGAGGATGCAGCTTGATCCAGTAATTGAACACTGTGTCCTAGCTACTGTTATATCTCAGATCGAAAACAGAACAAACACACAGTAACGGCATTGAAAGGCTGGCTCTGCCCTGCCCACCCTTTGCTTTCGTGGGTGAAATGGGGGCAGGGTCTGGTTTGATGTCAGAGGATGGAGGGGTAAGGAGGATCCGGCCTTCTGTGATAGTAAGCAGCCCCCGCTGTCTGCCCTGGGCTGACTTCTTGTTCCTTGACTGGGGCATGGGGTGAAACACTTCCTACTCCAAAGACAAAGTCTACAGTAACCCTTTCTGAGTGACTTGTGTGGTCTTATTTGGGGTTGTGTGGATGTCTTCCTATAAGGTTTTATGCTCACACCCACTTGGAAAGGAAGAGGGAGACAGAGCAGAGCAGCTGGGCCTGCCTTCTCTTCTGAAATGAAGTGTGTTCCCTGCTTCTGCCTCTGCCTCTGTTCCATGCCCCTGAATTTACAGAGTCAAATAGAAAAAAAAAAAGTCTTCTGGGAGGTGCTGACCCTGGACATGGAAAAGAACAGGATCTCAGTGAGAGAAGGACCAGGCCCCATGCCCAGAGCATTCCAGGAGAGCTTAATGCCTGGCTCACACGGGAAGGGGCAGAATTGTAATAAGCCGTCCAGAGGCCAGAGAAGCCGTGCAGCCCCTCCTGATGGGGCACCCACTGTGACTGTGACTGCACCATCTGCTACCTGCTGCTGGTGGCAAAAATGAGGTCATGGGTGTCTGCAACAGGAATAGGCCCCTCTGGAAATAACAGGCTCCTCATGCAGTCTCCTCCTGGGCCAGCAAAACTCCAAAAAGCAAAATCCCGTCCTGTGAAGCCCAGAGAGCCTGAATCCTCCTCTCTAACCCAGAGCTGGAGACAGAATTGCACATGGGCTCATAAGGGGCCTGCTCTTAGGAAAGGAAAAATGCTGAGTCCCAGGAACATCCAGCTCAGACTCTTGGCTGCGGTGAGTCAGGGAACTGTACAGGAGGAGCAGGGAGGGATCTACCTGGCTTCAGACATCTGTGTTCACGGGAACTCTCTGCCTCTGAGCACAGATGCAGCCTCTCTCTGCTGGTCCTCTGCTCAGGAGAAGCGCCTGGCGAATCTGGCTCTCAGGCCCCCTCTGTGAGCAAGCTGCGCAACAACACCCTGAAGACCAACTGTTCCTGACAGGCTGGGAAGGAAGAGCCTTCACTCTTGGCTGGGGGTTCAGAGGATCGGGAGTATGCAGGGTTACATCTGGGCAACACTAGACACTGGGAGGGGTTTGGCCACCTAGGGGTAGAGCTCTGCTTACCTCTGGCCCCACGAATCAGCCAGGCAGAGGGGCTTCAGCCTGCCAGGAGCTCCAGCTGCCGGCAGAAAAGTCACAAAATAACGTTTGAATTAGGTCTCTGAATGGGCTGAGGGAAGGAAGGCTAGCTTTGCAGCCATTGTCAGAAAACACCCGCAGCTCTTTTCTCTGGAGTATTTGCAGTGGCTGTGTCCATTCAGCAGCAAAAGGAAGGGGTTCCTTGCGGTAGGCAGTGGGGGGCCTGACACAGTTCAGAAAGTCAATGAGGGACAGCCAGAAAGAGGAGGCAGCAGGGGTCTGAGGAAGACTAAGTGGGACCACTAGGAGGCGAGAAGAGAGAAATCGGGGAGAAAATGAACTTTTACATGGAAGAAAACGTTTTAATATATAATAATGCCTGTCTTGGTGCCAACACTGTCACAGAAAGTAATTTTTAATATTTTCAGGGCGGGGGCGGTTACAGAGAGGCAAAGGCACCTAGACCAGCCCTGGGAAAGTTTAACTGGATTCGGCCCTGGTCCCCCAGCTCCTGACCTGGGGAGTAGTTCTGCCTACTCTCCTGGGCCCCCCAGAAGGCACCTCTCAGTTCTGGCCTTTTGTTTTCCTTTTCGTCTCCTTGCTCCTGTCTCCCTCAGAAGAAGAAAGAAAAACACAAGCGACGCAAGGGCCAGGGCACAGACCCCACTGTGTGAGTCCCCGTAAGTCTCCAGCTTCCCCTTTGTCTCGCTCTGTGCCCTGAGCGTTTCCAGACTTCGGAGAGTCTGACCTGAGAAGGAGAAACTTCCCCAAACCCTCTTTCCTCTGCCCCTGGCACTCAGGTCCGGGAGCGTGCTGGGGGTTCCAGGCTTCCCCGAAGCCTTTGTGAGAAGGATGGCTGGCGGGGGAAGGCAAGGGCCTCGAGAGAGCTGAAGGCTTCTTG